TGCATCACACTGGTAAGGGGTCATCACAAAATGTGTAATTTTTACACAGTCCAACCACAAACCAATGACTTAATTTAAAACTGGGCAAAGGGACTAAATACTTCTAGCGAGAAGAGATTCCGTGGACTACAGCCTGTGAGAAAGCATTCAACATGTCAATTACAACCACAGTGATGGACACCGCCCTGAGAATGGCCCCCAGAAAAAAGGATGGAACAAGCACCCTCGGAGGGCTGCGGAGAGAAAGGAGCTCTCAGCACTGCCTGTGGGATGCAAGTGGGTGCAGCCAGAAAAATGGAGATTTCTTATGAGCTCACAAAACCTCCACTCAGTTACTTATCCAAATAGTAGAAAAGCTCAGACATGAAAAGATTCATGTAAGCAGAGGTACAGAGCAACTGTGCACAACTGCCCAGTCAGGGAGGGAGGGAAGGCGCCTCAACAGGTGATGGGGAAACGGGAGCGCACTCCATGGAATACGACACAGTGACGAGGTAGGGTGAAGGGTGGCGTTTGGGCAAATGGACCGACAGGGGCCCTCCCTGGCAGTACAAGGGCTGAACGCACAGCACCATGAAGCTATCTGAGGCGCGGCAGCAGGCGTTCATACACAGGCAGGGAGGTGACCCACAGGGCACACAGACCTCTCCCATGTGGCCTGCTGCTCCCCTCAGTGGTGTGTTTCGGGTCATCTTCCTGTCTGCTCCCCATTCGCTCTGGTGAATCCTCTCATGACACAAGATATGCAACCTCTATCCATGGACATATTCTGGATAGAGACGGAAGAGCTCTGAAAAATCAGAATTTCCACGCTAACTTATGTTACGGCCTCCCTTTTTGTATAATCAGAATATCAAAATATTCTGAGCAACCTGCAGTTTACAACTGGATTGCCTCAGCCTCAGAAGGCGCTGCCTGGCCCAAGCAGACAAGCACTGCACCAGGGCGAGAAATTTCTCTTAAAGTCAAAAGGGATCTTACAATTGGCTGATTAATACAAGCAATTGGCTGTTATAACAAAGTCAATATTAAGACAGTCCTGGAACATACTCTTTTACTGCCCAGATGGAGGAAAACCCAAATCTCATCACTCTACCATCCCACACAGCCTTCTATTCTGTTTCTAAAGAACCACTCCAACTTTCTACCATCTAGTCTTTAGATATGGAAATTCACCCAAGTGGCCTATTCAGAGCTAACCAGGTTTTCTACAGTGTAGACTTCAAAGAAATTCACTTAAGCTCTCGAACTAGTTTTTCAGGATTCTACTATGTGGTCTTTAGATAAGAAAGTTCACCCAAGTCTCCTATTCAGAGCTAATTAAGTTTTCTACTGTCTCGACTTCAAGGAAATTCACTTACAGTTTCTAACTGGTTTTCAAAAGAACTTTACAGTAATTTGATTCACAAGAAAATTTCTTCTTCCTGCCCTCACATTACTTTACCCCCTAGGATATCTCAATGAGAATGAAAGCCATTAAGTAGTAGAACAGGTTTAAGGGACTTTATTTTGGTTAATCTACACTGTGGTAAATATAGTAATATTAGTCTTAAACATTGTAAATCTATGTGCCTGTTTTAATCTTGATAGATTGATTTTTAAAATGTTATAATCTCAACTACAGGTCAAAAACGACCCCAGACTATTCTTAGAAAAATGGTGATCGTGATCTCAGCCCATTTCATATGCTAATGTCATCCCACAGCTTGCTTGAAATGTATAAAATAAACCTGCTGAAGGCAGAGCAGGAAGACTTGCACCCAACTCCTGATTCCCTTGTCTTCCTTGAGCCCGCTCCTCTTTTCTCCCCCTTTTCTCTTTTCTCCCCCTTTTCTAGGAAATCTCCGCTCGCCGACACCCTCCCACCTTGAGACCCTGCCTGTTCTGCCCACCAATAATCCGTGATCGGGGACAAAGAGTCTCTGGCACTCTCACCCCCAAACCTCTGTCCTGTATCCCAGTTCCTGTATGCACATATTAAATCTTTTTTTAAAATAAGGATATTCAGGGACATGATTATAATGAATGAAATAGGCCAAAAATGAAGACAGACATCAGACACTTTCACTTACCTACAGTGTGTAATTATACATGAAGAACAGTAGGAATAAAACTTCAGCAAGACAAAAAGAAGATAATGGTAACTGGCAGGTCAGGCACCAGCAAACACGGGCAGACAGAAGGAGCACTGCCTCAAGCAGCAGATATTCGGGAGCCATAATCTCATGGTGTGTTTGTCACCCCGGTTAACAGAAGCCTGGGCAGAAAACTGAGTTCCAGTCCCTTATCAACACTTTCCACCTGGCCGGTTCTCCCCATTCCCTAGGCCTATAAAACCCCTCCTACCCTCCTTCAGTGTAACTACTCTGACCTCAACTCTCCAAGGTCAGCAAACCTGTCTTGACAGCTCAGAAATTAAGCTACTTTCTGTTTTACTGGCCTTGCTGCCTCTTGAGTCCTCCCTACTGCCCGAACCTTTCATATGTGCTGAAACCCAGGAAGGCTGTAACCCTGGCGCCGGGCGCCTTCCCCTCCTGGGACCTCTCTCCATGGCAGATGCCTCACACTCACCAAGACCTTGATTCCTGGGGTGTCATCTACCTCACCCTCCTTCCTAGGGGCCTCTGGCTATCAGTCTCCGCTCCTCTCCTCACCCCCATTTTGTTGACCGCTCCTTGGGGGGGGGGGAGGGGGGGGGGGGGGAGCAGGAGTTGGCTCCTCTCACACCTACCTGGATTTGGGGACGCCCATCCCGACCAGGTGTCTGGTTCCTTGGCACAAATGAGCAGTGGAGACGTCTCTATTGCTTGTTTGCCCCCATTCTGTGCGCCTGAGACGAATCAGGGACACCGGACCAGATCAGGCTCATGAGACGCTGCCTTCCTTGCTCTGTGTCCCCTTTGGCTGGGAAAAGCAGCCATGTGGGCCATGTGGTCTACAAATCTGAGCCTATTCTGGCCACTCCCCCAGGATGCCTTCTCTGGAGCTTCAGTCCCTTGGACTTAGGCCAGATAGACATCCTGAGCACCTCGCCTACTACTGCAACACTGCTTGGCCCCAGTACCGACTGGACAGTGGCGCCCACGGGCATGACTTCACAGTCCTTACTGAGCCAAACAACTCTCACTGCAATGGAAAATGGCCAGAGATCTTAATATTCAGGCCTTCTTCCTGCAGCACTGCCCCCCCCCACCCCCCTTCTCAAGTCCTGTCTTTCCTCTTAAGTTCCACTGGCTCACATACTCCAAAGTGTCCAGACCCCTATCTGGAGGCTCAAGCTACTTTCTGTGTTCCCCTCACTCTGTCTTTTCCACACACCCACTGGCCTCTGCTGTATCCAGGCCCAGCGCCAGTACTCCAGAGTCCTCTCAACCCTGCACACCAGAACACTCCGGCCCGAGCCTTCCTCCTCTACCTCAGGTTCTCCCTCATCTCCGGACCCTTTGCCGAAATCTCCTCTCTCCCCTGCAGTAAGCAGTCACACCTGCTCCCATCAGTCCCTTCTCTGCCCCCTTTGGGAGGATCCTGGGGCTGATAGGGTGGTCTGGATCCATGATCCTTTTTCACTTTTTGATCTCTCCCAAACAAAAAACGTCTAGGCTTTTTCTCCAATGATCCTACAGCCTACATTAAATAAAGACTTTCGTTACCTGATCTTACCTAGCATGATCTTCATATTATCCTGTCCTCTACACTGACTGCAACTTCTCTGACCTCAACTCTCTCCAGGGTACGTACCCAGGAGCTCAGAAATAAACCTTCTCTTGGTTTTACTGACCTTGCTATCTCTTTGCAGCCTCCTTACTGAGCTGAACCTTTCAGCAGCAGAGGGACTAGGAAAGGGGCTGGACAAGTTGGGAGAGGGATGAGCGGAGGGCATGTGTGGGACAAGGTTTGCTAGAGGACTACACCCATTAGGAATGCAGAAAAACTGACAACCTATCCCAGCAGAAGGCTGTTAGCGCTATAAATGTCAAAGGCAGATTGAGTGGGATAAAGATAAGTAAATGAAATCAACTAACAATGAAGCACAAGAAAATGTTATACAATTAAAAAAAAAAAAGCCCAGCAGATCATAGACAGCATTGTCAACATGGCAAGAAACTTAAGGACGGCAAAGGCTAGAGATGAGTAACTGGACTTGGGGTCAACGTAGGTCACTGAGGAGCTTCCTAGAAATGTGCTGAGACAGCACCAAGCAGATGTGCAAAGAAACGTGGGAAACAGGACTCTGAACAGTCCGGTGCCACCTGGTACGCAGCGCAGGGAAGGCGGGAGAATTTAAGGACCCACGCGGGTCCCTCCGTCACACACGCAGAGACTGAGCCCCGTGACTGGCCCCGAAGGCGTCTGGGACACGCGGGGCTGTTTCAGCACAGTCACAGAATCCTCACTAAGCGGTGTCGCCCTGGCGGCGCCCCCCAAACGCCCTGGAGGCGAAAACCGCACAAAACGCAGAATGGCCAAGTCCCAGGACCACAGGCGGGCGTGTGTGGCCCGAGCGACCGCGAACGCTCAGGCTGGCCCAGGCGCGCGGGCTCTAAACACTGTGATCCGGTGGAACCGTCACACTCCACGACGAGAACTCAATGACGTCAGAGTCGCACCCAGAACCTGACCACACCGGGGGCGTCCACGGGAGGGGCTCGCCCCGTGTCCCAGCGGGGTCCCCGAACGCCGGCCTCCCTCAGAGCCTCCCCGCCGGCCTGACCCTCCCGGGCGCCGGTCCCAGGGCCACGGGGCTCCCTCCCCCGCACGCGCCCCCGAAACCCCATCACCGGGCCTTACCCCTCGCTCCTCTCCACCGGGTCTGCAGTCCCCAGACTCCTCCTTCAAACACCCGCGCGTGGGTCCTCAGTCTCACCACAAGCAACAACGTGCGGAGACAAAGTCTGCGCTCAACTCGTGGGCAGTTGTGAGGACCAAGACGCCCAACTGTTCCCTCCGGAGGGGGGAGGGGCGGGGCCGCGCCTGCGCAGAACCAGGAAACAGCGCTAGGCTGGACCGGTCTCGCGCAGGAGACTACATTACCCACAATCCTGTGCGCCCTCGGTAGGCTGAGCTGGAGGGGTGACTTTGGGGGTGGGGTCCACCAGCTAGAGAAGGGTAAAAGGACCGTTAAGGGAGAATGTACAGGGGGGCGGGACCATCCTCAGCCGTTTTTAGCGTCTCTCTGATGTCGGGGGGCGGGGGTGGGGGGCTGATGAGAGATGAAGTGAGCGACTAGGATTCTCGCTCCGCTGGGGACTAGGGGAGGGTCCAGCCTCGTGCACCGTTGGAGGGAATCGATGAGTCCACTGGAAAGCGGAGGGGTTTTCATTGGGCCCTGGGTGATCTCCCTAAGTTTCTCATGATTGACCGCTTATGGGCAGCGGCCTGGAGGCCAGCCACCAGACATGGATAAACCTGTCACGGTGGGTCCGGCTCTGTCTGCCGGCCACAGGGACGCTGATACACAGTCCACGGCTCATTTCTAGGGAGAGGATCTGCTGCCAGGTGCCTGGCCAGGTCATGAGATGGCCTGATCCGCATGTTGCTGTGCAGACCGATAAACGCTGTCAGTTCGGCTGCAGTCAGGTGGAGGGCAGGATGATATGAAGGTCGTGCTAGGTAAGCTCATAGGCCTGAGTTAGATAACGAAATTGTTTAGTGTAGGCTGTAGGATCATTGGAGAAAAAGCCTAGAGTTTTTCCTATTTGGGAGAGATCAGAAGAAAAAGGGTCATGGATCCAGACCACCCTGTCAGACCCCGGCTACATCCTGAAGAAGGCAGAGAAGGGGCTGATGGGAGCGGGTGTGACTGCTTACTGCAGAGGAGATTGGGCAAGGGTCTGGAGATGAGGGAGAGACCTGATTAGGGAAGGAAAGCTCGGCCGGGGTGTTCTGGTATGGAGGGTTGAGAGGACTGTGGAGTAGTGGACCCTGGACCTGGATACCACGCAGGCCAGTGGGTGTACGGAGAAGACAGTGAGGGGAATCAGAGAAAGTAGCTTGAGCCTCCAAATACGGGTCTAGACACTCTGGGGTATCCCAGCCAATGGAACATGAAAGGCAGGACTGGAGAAGGGGGAAGGGAGTGCAGCAGGAAGAAGGCCCGAATATTAAGATCTCTGGCCATTTTCCATTGCCGTGAGAGTCGTTTAGCTCAGTAAGGACCATGAAGTCAAAAGTGCCATGTTCTGGCCAGTGGGAACCACTGTCCAATTGGTACTGGGGTCATTGGAGGATTGTGGGACTCTGGTAGTGGGTGTGGTGAAAAAGCATCCATTGTGAGGTTGGGTGCCCTAAGACTCACATTGTGATGTACATTACCATCACTTCAGTAAATAGAACTTGACCTAAAAGAGAAAAAAGTATAAGGATAAGAACTTGTTAATATTAACTGTTGATGATTCTCTAGGAGACTAGGAAAAAGGCTACATTAAAAGTGAAAAGACCTCTTCTGACTGGAAATCTAGACTAAGCGGGTGATCTTCTAGTAAAAACAAACTTAGGGCCCTCCCTGGTGGTGCAAGGGGTTAAAGAAGGGCACTATGCAGCTGTCTGCAGCCGCTGTATCATGAGTTCATTCCCTGGCCAGGGTGTAACCCCCAGAGCACAGCTGCCCCTTCAGCAGTAGATTTTAGTGGATCTACTTATTCTGCTCCCCACTTCGTCTCTGGTAAATCTTCTCACCGCCCCCTCCCCACAACTTCTAGCCTACACCTCAGTTCTTTTATGTGTAGAATAAGTACCATACACAAAAATTAACTCAAAAAAGATGAGTTGGATTAAGACATGAAACCCTAAAATAAGAGCTGAAACTCTCCATGACAAAGTCTTCGGAGGTCTTTGTGATTTCATCTCCAATACAAGAAAACAAGAGAATACCAAAATATTGTACCTCCAGCATGATCCAGTGTTGTTTTTAATTTATTTATTCTACACATACAAGAACTCCTGTGTATATACCCAATGAAGGCAAAATGTATTTTTGTGTTCACTGGCCACTATTTATTTCCAACAGCCACACATGGAAATGACTAAAGAGTCCAAGGACAAACGAGTGGTTGGCAAGTGAATTCCATGCAAGTGAGATGGAATACTACTGTGTTATGAAAAAGCCCTGGCCTTTTGTGACATGGGGACGGTGCTCAGTAAGCTGAGAAGAAACACAAATACCAGATGGTGCCACGTAAGTGTGAAAAACACAAAATCAAGGACCAGACAAAGCCAAACAACGGACAAACCTCACAAGCCTGACTGCATATTTGGCCTGGGGGAAGCATGGGAGCAATGCAGTGGACACAGTAGACTGTGAACTTCTGAACGATGGTATGGCATGGAAACATACAGTGGAAGGGGGTTATTCCCTACCTCAAAATCAAACTGTTGTAAATTAGTGTTATCACTAATTGGTAGCAAACATTTGCTTACAAATACTTATGATGATGTAAACTTGAAACCAATCTTATAAACCCATGCTACTGCAACTAAAAAAATTTTTTAAGTTAAAAAATTTTAAATAATTGAAATTTAAAAAAAATGAAAGTACATTTATGGTATGACACTGTAATTACTGACCCAGTAAGTTTACATCCTTTACAAGATGAATCATGAGTGTCTATATCACAATTTTCTCATGTGTCATTCTGCATCACTTATATTTGCTCCTTACAAGATGAATCATCTGTACTGTTTTTCCTCATTATGCGAGACACTTTTACAGCAATACCAGGTTTTTGTACCTGCTATCAGAGCTACAGTGATAGCTTTGCAATCTTTTTTTAGTGGTCCTCGTGCTACATTCACTTTTTTTTTTTTTTTTAAAGATTTACTTGTTCATACAGAACTGGGGTACAGGCCAGAGGCTCAGGGGCGGTGAGAGTCTTCACCAGACAGAGTGGGGAGCAGAACAGGCAGATGGACAAAGTACACTGCTGAGGGGAGCAGCGGGCGGGTCAGGAGAGGTCTGCCACGCCATGTGGTCGCCTCCGGGGCAGGCGGGAATCGAACTCATGCGGAAGTGGCTTCAGATTCTCAGTGCTGTGCTTTAACCCGCTGTACCACCAGGAAGGGCCGCTACATTCACTTTTTTTTTTTAAAGATTTATTTATCTATTCATACAGAACTGGGGTATAGGCCAGAGGCTCAGGGACGGTGAGAGGCTTCACCAGAGACAAAGTGGGGAGCAGAACAGGCAGATCGAGGAAGTACACTGCTGAGGGGAGCAGCGGGCGGGTCAGGAGAGGTCTGGCTCGCCATGTGGTCTCCTCCGGGGCAGGCGGGAATCGAACTCATGCAGAAGTGGCTTCAGATTCTCAGTGCTGTGCTTTAACCCGCTGCGCCACCAGGGAGGGCCTACATTCACTTTTAACAACAAATCTTCAATTTATTTGAAGCAACTTGGTTTCAAAAATGTTAAGTTACAGCAATTACAGGGAAAAAAAAACAGTAACAGTCAGAAACAAAAGAATAATCGGGAGAACTGTTTGTTTCTTAACACTGTCATGGCTTTATTCAAAACAGTTGCACAAAAGTATTAATTTCAAAGATTTTTAATGGAGTTTTTAGGAATTTAACCTGCTATCTACAAACTGCCATACAAAGAGCATTAAAATAAGACCAAAAACTTCCCCTTATTTACATGAAAATACCACCTACAAAGCTAAGTCTTAAAAAGTTACCAGGAGGCCCTAAGTGTTTTCAAAGCAAAAAACCCTAATTGTGAATGCACAACAATATGACTGAAAAGAAAGCCAATATATTTTTTACTATATTAGTTTATTTTTACATATTTTTGTGCATTTTTCTATCTCATGCATTATTTTAAAAATAACTCAATCTGCAGAGAGTAAAATGAGAATTCTTAGGACAAAGACAGTATTTCAGTTATTAAAAAGGAGTAAAATGTTAGCCTTTTGGAGATTCCATCCTCTGACAAAATTGATCCCAAGAGTTTTGTCAGTTGTTTTTAAGTTTATCCACACAACCAGCTGCCTAATTTTTACTTTAAAACCCAAGTTATAAATTGTAAACTATGAAAGAAGCATTCCTGCATTCAGTAATTTAAACTGTCCCAGTATGGAAGTGTAATTTTAATTAATTCGCTGGCATTACTCTGAAAAACCTTATAATCTTCAGGGGGGGCAGGGTAGAATTAGAAAACCAAGATTAGACGCAATTGCCATGAACATGGATCCTGCACAATGAAAGGGAAGATGTACTCATCTAGTCATTGAACATATTTAGTAGCCATACAAGAAAAACATACTCATACTTATTCCAAATACCTATTTTTAATGGCTGGACTTGAAGACAAATCTTTATTTAATATGGACTTAGTTTGCAGTATTTTTCCAACTACATTCATTTTTCTGAAGTGTGGGCAAGCACGCCTGCAGCCCTCAGCCTATACCATCTAGGCAGCAATTAAACATGTTCTCATGCTGTTACACTTCCAGTATCACTAGTGCCCCATTGCAGGGATCTCATGGGGCAAGTCAAGGTTTGAAGTACTCCACAAAACAAAAATCCACAAGAATCCTACCTTTTTGTAATTGCAGTTTACTGGAGATGAAGTGTTCACCTGCACTCAGTACTTTAAACTGATGCTGATTCACAATACTGTGTTCACTGTAGCAGCAATAGGAAGGAGCCAACAACTTACCAGAGCAGGACAGTTAATTTCATACAACTATGATTTAACCTGCATGTTTACATTTCTCTCCAATGTGAATGGTACAAAGTACATTGTATGTATATAATTTTAACTTTATAACAGTAAAGTTTACTTCATCTGTTTTACGCATGACATACCCTTTCCATTAATGTTTTTGATATTTTAGACTACAAGGTTCATTTTAAAATTCATGATTCTTCAAAACAAATTTTCAGTACATTTGCTGGAAAGAATCTGTAAGTGGACTTCAAATTCGTGCAGTTCAAACTCACATTCAATGGTCCACAGTGTTTAGTTAGAAAATCAGACTACAGATTCTTGCAGAAATGGGATGACAGAGGACAGTATCATGGAACCATCACTTGCAGAATCCCTGTAGCCCAATCAAGGAACTGATGATACACCGTGAGACATTTTGTAGCTCTTAAGATCAGTATGGCTAAGTACCCCACAACTATCCTTTCATTTATTACACTATCTGTTCCAATCCTATGCCTGTGCTGTTAAACTTACATATCCAGCTCACTGAACTGTAAATCAAGTTTATCTGAGATCAGAGATTGAACTCAGAGTAGAGAGATTCAGGCAGAAACCAAAAATGTGCTTCAAGGAAAAATTTGAGTTTTGTTATTTTTTTTAAAAGATTTATTTATTTGTACATCCAGAACTGGGGTACAGGCCAGAGGCTCAGGGGCGGTGAGAGGCTTCACCAGAGACAGAGCGGGGAGCAGAACAGGCAGATCGACGAAGTACTGCTGAGGGGAGCAGCGGGCGGGCCAGGAGAGGTCTGCAGCGCCAAGTGGTCACCTCCAGGGCAGGCGGGAATCGAACTCATGTGAAAGTGGCTTTAGCTTCTCAGTGCTGTGCTTTAACCCACTGCGCCACCAAATTTGACTTTTTAAAATTTATTTTATTTTACAACAGTTTATTTTTACATCATTTTGTACATTTTTTTCCCCATCTCAATTGTAATCCCCGCGGGTTTCCCATCACCAAGTCACCCGTGTCAAATTTGAGTTTTTAAAGGGAAAATATGGAGATGGGTACATGCAGCACTGTGAAGCTGTCTGCAGCCACTGCAGCAAAGGTTCGACCCCAGCCAGGGAGCTGACCCACATGGCACAGCCAGCCTCTCCTGACCCGCCCGCTGCTCCCCTCAGCAGTGTATTTCGGTCCATCTGCCTGTTCTGCTCCCCTACTCTGTCTCATTCCCAGTCAAAGCTCAGATGGAGATAGGTGAGGTAGTTTGGAAAACTGCTTTCCCCAACCCCTTGTCTTAAATCATGGTGCCATCTTTGCTCTTTGGGTCTCAAGGCAAAGTGGCAGGCCATTCACATGTCTGGGACACAGGCATGAAATCTTTTGTGACCCAACATGGAAGTAATACTCATTGCTAGTGTGCATGTCCCATCCAGGTTTGATACAGGATCACAACCACAGTAAATGGAGGCTGTTTTCTCAACAGAAAAATATTCTTTTGCTAAAGATGAGGTCAGTCTCCACAGAATAGGAGGACACACGTGTGAGTTCTCTGGAGTCAAGGCTACTTTCCAGGAACAATTTTTCCTATATCTTGACATTCACAGAGTCTCTCTCATGAGTTCTTTGATGTACACTAAGGTCTGACTTCTGGCAGAAAGTTATCCTACATTCTTGACATTCATAAGGTTTCTCTACTGTATGAGTCCTCTGATGTCTAGCAAGAGTTGATTTCCAGTGAAAAGTTTTCCTACATTCTTGACATTCATAAGGTTTCTCTACTGTATGAGTCCTCTGATGTCTAGCAAGAGTTGATTTCCAGTGAAAAGTTTTCCTACATTCTTGACATTCATACGGTTTCACTCTTATATGAATTTTCTGATGTGCAGTAAGGGATGACTTCTGGTAGAAAGCTTTCCTACATACTTTACACTCAAAGGGCTTCTCTCCTGTGTGAATTCTCTGATGTTTAGTGAGTTCTGATTTAGAATAGAAATTTTTTCTACATATTTTACACTCATAGGGTTTCTCTCCAGTGTGAGTTCTCTGATGTACAATGAGGGTTGGTTTCTGAGAGAAAGTTTTCCTACATTCTTGACATTCATAGGGTTTCTCTCCTGTGTGAGTTCTCAGATGTCTGGTGAGACTTGACTTCCCATAGAATGTTTTTCTACACTCTTGACATTGATAGGGTTTTTCTCCTGTGTGTGTTCTCTGGTGTACTGTGAGGGTTGGCTTCTGAGAGAATGTTTTCCTACATTCTTGACATTCATAGGGCTTCTCTCCTGTGTGAGTTCTCTGATGCCTGATGAAGGCTGACTTCCAGTGGAAAGTTTTCCTACATTCTTCACATTTATAGCGTTTCTCTCCTGTGTGAGTTTTCTGATGTCCATCAAGAGCTGATTTCTGGAAGAATGTTTTCCAACATTCTTTACATTCATAAGGTTTCTGTCTTGTGAGAATTCTCTGACGTCTGAGTGTTGACTTCTGAAAAGATTTCAAACATTCATGAGATTTCTCACCTGTTTGTTTATTCTTATTGTTACTTTTACAGACAGTTTTACCACATGCGTTATATTCTATCTTCTTCCGTCCTAATGGAGTTCTTTTCTTGCCGATAAAACGCCAACTTTGACTATGTTTGTGTTCATCTTCAACATCACTCTGAAGAATTAACTCTATTGGTTTCTCCAAAAAGAGTTCTCTCCACTGCTTACATCTGTTGTGCATCTCCCCCAGGTGACAGCTCTCTTGGACCACATCAGCTAACTTACCATACCTTGTCCCACTATATTTACAGGTAGTCTCTCCCATCATAGCCTTCCTAGGTGTAAAGAATACTGTTTCTTTGTTGAAGGCTTTCCCTTGTTCACTAAATTCAAAAGGCTGCTCCACAGTTGGAATCGTCTGACCAGCAACATGATGCTTAGGATAGCTGGGAGATCTGATGGCATTAGGGCCCTCGGACTTCTTGCCAACATGGATCTCATCAGACTCCCAAGTGGGCAACATGTTCTTACCCACATGAAACTCCTCAGGCATCATTTCTGAACATTTTCCATTATTTATAATTAGCTTGGAGATATGGATTGAACCCGAGTAAAACGTTCTCTGTAAATCAGTTATCTCTTCCGTTGATGTTTTGTTGTTGGTAATTAGAACTTGCCATAAATGTTTGCCTTGATTTTCCTGACTGACTTTGATCAGGTCATCCATGGTCTGGACATCTGAAAGAGATAAAAATAACCACATCTTATGACAATATCTAACAGTTCTTCAGGATGCTAGTGTAAACACATTTCTGTCCTAGCAGCACAAGTTTTTTCTTAAAATTCGGTAATGAGGGCCCTCCCTGGTGGCGCAGCGGGTTAAAGCACAGCAGTAAGAAGCTGAAGCCACTTCAGCATGAGTTCAACTCCCGCCAGCCCTGAGGTGATCCACATGGTGGCAGACCTCTCCTGACCCGCCCGCTGCTCCCATCAACGGTGTACTTTAGGGATCTACTTGTTCTGCTCCTTACTCTGTGTGTGTGGTAAATCCTCTCACCATCCCTACACCTCTGGCCTGTACCCCATTTCTGTATGCATAAATAAATCTTAAAAAAAAATCGGTAATGAATATTGATTTTATAGGATTTTAACAAATCCTTAAAATCAATGCTGTAATAAATGTAATACATGCTGCAAATGACATTAATAATTTTCTAATGTCACGTCATACTGACAAACCCAATACTTCTGTAAATTTGTCCTTTGTAAAATGCCTAATGTAATACCTGATCACTCTATTTGCCCACTCTGCAATGACAGACTGCAACTGAGTTCTCACCTACCATTTGTTCACACCCTGTTCTTTTCTCAGCCTTTTTCTTACAATATCTGTGGCTATCATGTGCTGGGCTTTTGGTGATGACCTAAGTTAAGACTTTCCCCTGTATCTGCTATTTATTGGATTAAGGGGAGGGACCAAGTGTCTGTTACGGAAGTAGGACTAATGCATGGGAAAAGATTTTGCTCCTGTGTGTTCACTGAGTATAAACTCTTCCCTGGGAACGGGGAATGACGACAGGGATCATTGACTTTTTTCCCAAGCCACCATTTTTTCCATGGCCAGGTCGGCTTTCTGTGAGTTCCCAATGAAACACTGTGGCATTAACTTCTCAGAAGCGAATAGAAACTCTGGCTCATTACTCTGTGCAACTCTCCCCTATGATCTAAAGGATTCACGCCTGCAACCTGGATCAACCTGACACAAGCTATGCAACTTCTATGAATTGACAAATTCCAGATAGAAAAGGAAAAGCTGTGAAAACTCAGAATTTCCACTGCTATACTTATGTTATGACCTCCCTTTTTTGTATAATCATAATATCACAATATTCTGAGCAACCATCAGTTTACAACTGGATTGCCTCAGCCCATAAGGCAGATGCCTGGTCCCAGCAAGCTGCCCCAAGGTGGGAAATTCCTCTGTCTCCAGAGACAAAAGGCAAGCCCCAGGAGAGGTAAGACCCCAGGGCATAAAAACTCCTGGGAAGCTTCCTTGGTTTCTTTAAATAGAAAGCAAATCTCAGATAAGACTCCCAGGGCATAAGGACTCATGGATAAACTTTAACCTTGTTTACACAACTGTGCAACTTTCTCTAATTTACTCCTTTTTAAAACAAGCACTGACTACTCTCTGCTAGCCTTAAATTAGCCATTAGCTTTTCTTTAGACAATCACTGATAACACTGCTCACACAATCTATTACTTCCCTAAAACCCCTAATAACCTTTTGCTAACAAGCTCATCCTTTCCCAGAACCCTCTTCCCTTGAGTGATAGCTAAACATCTGTATACATGACAATTATCACTAAAATGTATAATTTAGTATACCATAAAATGATAAGAAAAAAATGCTTTGTTCCCCTTGTCCTTGAGAACGTTTATGACAGTTTATGGCCATCTTTCATTAACTTACCCTATGCATTATTGCAATTAACTACTTGCTACACAGTATAACTAAAGACCTGCTGAGGAAATGGGCAGGAAGACTTGCACTTAACTCTGACTCCTGTGTCTTCCTCGCTCCCCTCTCCCCTTCTTGAAATCTCCTCTCCGTACAGCTTGATGTTGGGGCCGGTCCCCAACATCTACCCGTGGTATTTAAAAAGCCTTTATCTCCCAAGTCCTTCTGAATCAAGACTCCAGGTATCCTCACCCACTTCTTGGCACCAATGTGCCATTTGATAATTCACTGTACCTGAAGATTTTTATATCATGTATTTTACAGTTCCAGCTTTACCCTTGTTATAGTGAAACCGGTTTCCCATGTGCGTTTCTCATTCTTTTTATTCTCCCAACAATTTTGCACAAGAGGAGGTGAAAGGGGAAACTTCAAACTCCACAACCCAGGCCCAGCACTGCAGCCTGAAACACCTGGGTTCCTGGCTCTAGGACACACACACCAGCTCTGCTTCCTCCTGCCACATGGCAGGCGCCACATTGCTCGCTGCCAGTATGCTGGGTCCCCCTCAGTTGCACAATGTGAGGTACTGTGGGTCACAAGTTTGTCTCCCAGCGTGCAACTCATGGTCTTTATGACTCCTTAGCCAACATCCTTGAATGTGACAGGGTGAGTTAGCGAATTCCTAATGTACATCTCAATAGTGACATCCAACCTCCCCCAACTATACCTGCAGCTGTATTTTATGTCAACAAGGAAAACAAGAGCCTCAGTTTGCATTACCAAAACAAACAAAAGAACCTCTCAATGTAAACACAATGTACTCCTAAATTTCCTTCTAAGCAGCCTTCCTAAAGGAATCCCTACCACTTCCTGCTTATTGCAGTTCAACAGTCTCTGTGGTTCTTATTTCAACATTGACCACGCATACTTGCTTCTTTCTTCTTTTAATAGAATGTTAAGTGACATGGGTGGGTTTTTATTTGATTACTTATCACAATACAAAACCTATCTTTCTAGAACTTCACATTTAGCATGCTGAAAGAATAAAGAAATGTAGGAATACATTTCTGAAATGAAAGAGTGCATGAGAATGAAGTAAAACTGAGAATCCTGAGACAGTGACTAAGGAGAAAGTTCCCAGAGGAGAGAATCGGGGACTGAATGTGGGGTGTGTCTGAGGACATTTACAGCCATTTAAAGAAGGGGCAAGGTCTGTAAGTGAGAGTCACAGTAGGAGGCTGGGTAACGAATGGGTGTGTGGGCCTGCTGGGCCATCACGTATTTACCTGTAGCTGTGGGCCTATCCAACGTCAGACTGCCCTTCAGAAATCGGCCAGTCAGTCATAAGTGCCAAACCTCACAAGATGCCTTTCAAGTCAGTCAATAGCAGAAAGCTGGATCACCATGGGAAGCAGCAGTCTGACAGGGAATGCCTGGTGGGCTGATGAAGGATGTGTAAACTTATCCACACTCATACATCAAGGGCTGAGGACCCTACATGGACAAGGGACCCCAGAGGCTGATCGGGGGAATATTTGTTGACAAGACTGAAACCCTGGCTGGGATCTAGGGTGGCTCTCCATTACAGCACCGAGTCAGCAAGCAGAAGAGAGGTGCCTGGAGGGCTGACTCACACCCCTGATACTAGAGATGACAGCACATTTTCTAGCTACCGCTTCCTCTTTTCCCTCCTTCCCCTTACTACAGATGCTGCATGATTATTCTATCAGTGAAAAGGCCAGGCGTGTGGCCGCGCGTGGGCCCTCTCTGGTGGCGCAATGGGTTAAAATGCAGCACCATGAAGCTCACCACAGCTGCTTCACATCAGGTTCCATCCCCGGCCAGGGAGCTGACCCACAAGGTGAAGCAGACCTCTCTTGACCTGCCTGCTGCTCCCCTCAGCAGTGTGCTTTGTTGATCTGCCTGTTCTGCTCCCTGCTGTACCTGCTGAATCCTCTCCGCACGCCTGTACCTCTGGCCTGTACCCCAGTTCAGTTATGCATAAGTAAATGAATCTTAAAAAAAAGGCCAGGCACTTGCTCTGCTCTCCAGCAGTGGCATGCACTGTCAGCCTGCGCCATGACGCCCGTTATGAGTGTGGTGTTGCTCATGCAACAGGCACAACACACACAGACAAACAGTCCTAAGGTCTGACTGTGGGAAAAACTCCCTCAGGCTGGCCCAATGTGCTGGCTAACCTCCTCGCAGCCTCCTGTCCAGTGTGCAGACTGACCTGAGAGGCCCTGGCTTGGGGGTTCCTGTATAGTACACGGCTCTGCTCCTTGCTCCATCCTGACAATCACCTCAGGTTTGGTCACACAGTGTCCTGTTGACGAGAAATAACAGAACTTTTGCCAACGTGCTTCAACTTCCATCTCTGAAGGACAACATCAGCTTTCAGAGCTGGGTAATGAGGGCCAATTTGAACCTTTGACTCATGTTGGATGAACACTCATATTTCCTTCTCTGGAACCTTGGATCTAAATAGCTGAATTTAAGAAATAGTGGTATATGTACCAACAAAGAAAACAGCACCTGCCCACGGCAGCTACCAGAGTGTTGCTTACCCAGGGACACCAGGCTGCTGTAGGTTTCCAGCATCACCTCCCGGAACAGGGTCCTCTGAGCATCACTCAGGTCCTGCCACTCCTCCCAGGTAAAGGTCACAGCCACGTCCTCAAACGACACCAACCCCCGTAAGGGAACATTTCTTCTCAGTTCAGACATCACTCTGGATCAGAACGGCAGCTGGTATGGAAGCTGATTTTCAGGGTCTTTTACACACCATCCTCTGTACTCTCTACTGTAATAGATGGAAATTTCACAGGAGAAATAGCTGAGCCCTGTATTAACATTCGATTCTAGAAGTTCCATTCTCTTATAAATCTGGAAACGCCTGTGTTGCTGAAAGGATGAATAAAACTATGGCCCTCAAAGATTGAGAAACAAAAATGTGAATCCTTATCTGGAAAAATGTGGCAGAAGAGTTTTATCAAAAACATAGTCAATGCAGACTATGAGAAAAACCCAGCAATTTGCTGCAAGATAAGGAAAAAACCCAGCACCTCCCCAAGATGCAAGGATGTTTAGCACCTCTTGTGAGCTGCACCTTGCAGGAGGCTGATCCAACAGTCCAAGCCAGCATGGACAATAAGAACAGGAGTCAAGTTCATGGAGCCAGAGAATTGCTCCTAGGCGGCAAGGACAGGTAACCACAGCAAAGGTAGCCAAGGCACTGAACCTGGAGCTACTATGCATTCACATAGGTGACCTAATGAATTCCAGGGATAGTCTGCTGTGATAGCCATGTTTTTATAGCATAATTAAAGGAATACAGACGTGCCTCGTAATATTCCTTCCTTGCACCTAAAGATGGCTTACTTCCACTGAACACAACTCACGGCCTGAACCACGCAGAATTGATGAGGGGCCAAGGGAAACAGGTCAATGGCGGAACGGGGGCTGCATTCTCAGTCATCCCCCAATGGGCAAAGCTGAAGGGCAAGTCAGAGAGGAGTCAGGTGCGGCTATGTAACTGGGTGGTCCCTAGGAGAAGGGAAGTTCCAGGTTCCCTGCCCCACCCAGAAGGAGGGTGGAGCTGAGCAGAGAAAAAGGAGAGAGAAGAGGAGAGAAGAAAGGCAGAAGACAGATGGAGAAGGAGACCTAAGGAAGCCACATGGAGCAGCAAACATGTGATGAAGAAACCGGGCTTGTTTCCTGACACTGGACTGGTTAAGGCAGATGTGGGTGAGAGACCTGTAGGGAGGTGACTATGGCAGTGTTTATATTGATTTTGATTTTGCTCTTTTCCTCCCAGGCTTGTCTGGCCATTTCTGACCCTTTTCCATGGGTCCCGGCCAGAAGGTGCTTTAGTCTTGTGGCAGGCTTTCAGGCCTTGCTTTGGGCCAATCCCTTTTGGATTAACTTTTGCCCACGAGGGGATGGTTAACTTCAGGTGTTTGATTTAGAAGTTACTTTCTTTGTGCTCTGTATTGTATATTCACTGTATTAAAGTCACTTTTCATTAAAGCTTTATATGTTTTGTCTTGTTGCGGCGGATGGCAGAACCCACTTAGAGCAAGCAGGTTTTGGGGCTTCAGGGGTGTCTCTCTCTGAATTGAGGTGCCCTATTGTAACAGATACAGGTTTCACGGACTCCGCCCCCACTCGATGCTGGAACTCCAAATCCCATCAGTACCAAGAAGAAGCACGCAGGGACATGAGGGCGGAGCTGAGCAGCCAGGTGGGGATAAAACCGGACACGTGGGCTCTGGGGGTCTCTTGGCCTGGTGGTTCGCAGCTGATCGTTTTGGCGCTCAATCGGTTTTCAGCGTGCCGGTGGAGTCCACGTCAGCAGAACTGGTAGGACATCCTAGTTAACCTGTGTTTCTCTCCCTCTTTCCCTGGGTTATCCCTTTACCTTTCTCCTTATAAATAAATCCATTATTTAACCTTTTGAAGTGTGTCCATAATACGATTGAATCGTAAGCGCACGGGTGAAGACCCACAGACAGGCAACCCAATTCACATTGGGGTGCCCTGTAACACTATAACAGCTACACTGAGGCCGCAGCACAGTGAAAGCCAGAGAGGATCCTTATCCTACAACAGACGGAGGCAGCAAGGCCTTGAGAAAACTCTTCTGCCACATTTCTCTTCAAGAGGCAGTTTCAGGAGTAGACTGTCTGCATGACCAGTTACGTAGACATGGGCGCAATCATTTAATATTCTTCAGAAAAGACCAAAGAAAATGATGCACAGAGGTGACACTGATCCTGGACACATCATGCTTGAAGTTTTGTGGGCAGTCTAGGAAGATCTCCCATGGATGACTGGATATTTTCTTTTTTAAAATTTATTTTTCATATCTATTTAGATTATTATTCATTTTACAACAATGTTTACATTTCCCCTCCCCCTCCAGTCATCACCATAGGCTCCCCCCCCATTCTTCCTTCCTTCTGATCCCTCTCTTTCCCCCTCCCCTGTAGGAACTCTCTGGTTTGTAAGTGTTGGCACTGACCAAGTGAGGAGATTTACTGAGGGACTGGATAAGGGTAGTAATAAATTAGGCCTTGCATCCAAGGGTGATAAGGTGGTAATAAACTGGGCCTTGCATCCAATTAACTGGGCCTTGCATTGGGGATGGGATTACAAGGTGATAACAAACTGGGCCTTACATCAAGGGACACAGGGATGAGTCACCCCTTTGGAATCTGAGTTTAGAATCTATACGAGACCCTTCCCCCCATAGGGCTAGCAGTAGCTGCAGACCCCACCTAGGGGCTCCTTCTCAGCTGTTGCAGGGGAGCAATAAACTCTGCTTGCTCAGCCTTTCTGCCTCCCAGTCACAAAAGTTGGGACAAAACAGTTAAGTGTCTATGGCTGAATGGATATTCTATATACAGGGCAGGAGAGAAATTTAAGTGGACTATCAAGATTTGGAAAGCACCAAAACTTCACTGGTAGATGAAGGCATCAATGAGACCATGGAGATTAAAAGAAGAGGCACAGATACAAAATTGGGAGAAACGTTAACATTTACTGGCAAAGAAAAATTGACACAAGCTATGCAACTTCTATTGACTGACAAATTCCGGATGGAAAAGCTGTGAAAAATCAGAATTTCCACTGCTAACTTATGTTATGACCTCCCTTTTTTGTATAATCATAATATCAATATTCTGAGCAACCATCAGTTTACAACTGGATTGCTTAGCCTCATAAGGCAGCTGCCTGGTCCCAGCAAGCTGCCCCAAGGTGGGAAATTCCTCTGTCTCCAGAGACAGAAGGCAAGCCCCAGGAGAGGTAAGACCCCAGGGCATAAAAACTCCTGGGAAGCTTCCTTGGTTTCTTTAAATAGAAAGCAAATCTCAGATAAGACTCCCAGGGCATAAGGACTCATGGACAATTTTTAAACTTGTTTACATAGGTGTTGCTGAATACACAACTATACAACTTTCTCTTAATTTACTCCTTTTTAAAACAAGCACTGACTACTCTCTTCTAGCTTTAAATTGGCCATTAGCATTTCTTTAGACAATCACTACTAACACTGCTCACACAATCTGTTACTTCCCTAAAACCCCTAATAACTTTTTGCTAACAAGCTCATCCTTTCCCAGACCCCTCTTCCCTTGAGTGATAGCTAAACATCTGTATACACGGCAATTATTACAAAAATGTATAATTTAGTATACCATAAATTGATAAGAGAAAAATGCTTTGTTCCCCTTGTCCCTGAGGTCGTTCATGACAATTTATGGCCATCTCTCATTAACTTACCCTATGCATTATTGCAATTAACTACTTGCTACACAGTGTAAATAAAGGCCTGGTGAGGGAATGGGCAGGAAGACTTGCACCCATACTCTGACTCCCCTGTCTTCCTCACGCCCGCTCGACTCTCCCCTTTTGGAAGCTCCACTCACGGAAGATGCCTTCCCACCTTAGGGCCCTGCATGTCTTGGACACCTCGATAGCTGGGGCTGGTCCCCAACCAAAAATAGACCATAACAAGAGAAATGTTAAATCATGCTAGGAATAAGGAAGCACAATACCAGGAAAGGTGTGAATATACTTCATCATATTCCTATTTCTGTGGAGAAATGAACAACTACAAAGATACTGAATAAGCATCTATAAAAATGCTTTCCTGTTTCTATTATTAAAAGCTCAGAAGTGAGGATTCTGGGAATTCTTCCTGGACACAACGCAGACGGCTCAGCCATGACTGAAAGCCAGCCCCACAGTTATGTGGGAGGCTGCTCCACAATCACCCCCCATGGGTCACTTGCATTGTGTCAGGAGCTTGATGCGCACAATTGAAAAGAAAAAAAGAGAAGTGAAGATCATCTTGGAAAACTGAATCACTGACATGAAAACTACTTCAAACACTTAATAAATTAGCAGATTATCAAAACAACATTTGCAAGTCTTCCTGTACCAGGGTGGTCCCTAGGAAAAGGGGAAGTTCCAGGTTCCCTGCCCCACCCAGGAGGATGGAGCTGAGCAGAGAAAAAGGAGAGGAGAGAAGAGAAGGAATCAAGAGAGAAGAGAAGGAAGCTGGATGGAGAACAAGGAGACCTGAGGAAACCACATGGAGCAGCAAGCTTGTGGTGAAGAAACCGGCTTGTTTCCTGACCCTGGACTGGTTAAAGGCAAATGTGGGTGAGATACATGTAGGGAGGTGACTATGGCAGTGTTTATATTGATTTTGATTTTGATTTTGCTCTTTTCCTCCCAGGTTTGTCTGGCCATTTCTGACCCTTTGCCACGGATCCCGGCCAGAAGGTGCTTTAGTCTGGTGGTAGCTTTCAGGCCTTGCTTTGGCCCAATCCCTTTTGGGTGGACTTTTGCGCACAAGGGGATGGGTCACTTCAGGTGTTTGATTTAGAAATTATATTCTTTATGTTCTGTATTGTATATTTACTGTATTAAAGTCCCTTTTCATTAAAGTTTTATATGTTTTGTCTTGATGGCGGCGGGTGGCAGAACCCACTTAGAGCAGGCAGGTTTGGGGCTTCAGGGATGTCCCTCTCCCCCTGTCCTGGAACAGGTTTTGTCCTCTAACAGACTTGGGGTGCCCTGTAACATTCCCATATACACAGACACACAATAGCCACAAACAGAAAAAATGCTAGAAATAGTGAGATAACACAAAACTTGGAGTGGGGGGAAGTAAAACACCCTGAAGGATACAGAAAAGAACTAATGAAATGAAAAGATACAGTAGTTCACCAACAGAACTCATCCACATCAGAAAGCTTTGCGTTCTTCAAGGTAAACCAGCAAAAACAGGTA